ATAACCCCTTGCAACACTCTATAAAGACCCCTGGTTGAAAAAAACCAAGCTCACTCAATCCTTCAGAAAACTCTGTTACCACCCCTATAGCTCAACACCGCCATTCAAAAACAACCAACTGCGACCAGGCTGCCATAGATCCAAGGCCAGAGCGTGCCTGGCTATGCTTTTATAGTCTTGTAGCACACAAGACTTGAGCATTGCTTTACCCTGACGGTCTAAAAAAACCAGTAATGCGGTATCGTGGATTAGGAAACTAGTTGTGTAGGTTAAAACTTGAGAGTACATGATTGTTAGGTACTTGGACCCTTATCTTCGGAGGACGCCGGGGGAACCTAGTTTTTCAGGTTTCGCGCTGAACAACCAAGCCAACATAAGGCACAGCACCACAATCAAGTAACGTCCAACGAACTCTGGAATTCGAAACCTGCCCCAAACCCTGGAAACCCTCCGAATTGCATGTCCACATTGCTGCTCCAAGGACCTGTCCTGCCACGCACACTGTGATGGCCTTGTTCATGAGACCGGTACTTGGAGGATCATGGGACTTAGTAAGTAAGGTTATAAGTACCTTAAATAGGGTTATAAGTATAGTTACCCTAATTATAACCCTAGTTACTAAGTCCCATGATCCTTCAAGTATGCTTGGCTCGGCTCATGGCATGGCTCTCGCGCATTGATTCCGGAATCGACACGCTGGTAGTCGTTGTAGGAGTCTGTACTTGGAGGGGCAGGGGACTTAGTAAGTAGGTTATAAGTAGAGTATCAGTACCCTAAATAGAGTTACCCCAATTATAGCCCTACTTATAACCGAGTTACTAAGTCCCCTGACCCTGCAAGTATGGCTGCAAGTAGACGTCTGAGATGACGTTTGATGATCTCCTGCAGCAAGACCCCGAGACTTTTCCAAACTGCGACGACGTTCAATCTTACGGAGAACCCCATCCAGACGAAGAGCAAGTTCGCGATCTGAGACACCAAGCGGGCTATCTCTGTTGAAAAGAGGCGTCGCACTGAGCCACGCACGATAGCCCCTATGGCGAGAACATCTGCAGCACGGTTTCGCACGTCTGAGCAATGGAGTCTTTTGCACGCGCAACAAAATGCGCTGCGTTCTGCCAATCACCTCCGCCGCTTGTGCTGCAAGACTTGCTTCTATGCCCGCCAGTATCCGACGTTCTGACGGTGAGATCAAAATACAAAGTTGAGGGTTGTAAAGAATTAAAGCTCTTAATTAGGGCTTAGCATGCATCGTTATAGGGTCTAGGGTTTAGGGCTTTAAGAGCTTAGGAATTAGGGTGGTTGGGCCTTCGGCTCTTAACGCTTAGGGCTTTAAGCCTCTTAGCTCTCTTGAGCCATAGGGTCGGCTTCCAGGATTTGGGATCTAGGGTCTCGAGGTTTGGGATTTACGGTTTAGGGTCTCGAGGTTTGGGATTTAGGGTTTAGGGTCTCGAGGTTTGGGATTTAGGGTTTAGGGTTTAGGGTTTTAGGTTTGGGGCAGATGACACCAATGTACCGAAACTGACAACGAGCACAAACGGGATCGCGGAATATTCCACATGTGCCTGCGCACGCCCCCCGTGGCCACACTAGCTAGACCTGAACCCCGGCATGTGTACAACGCAGAATGGGGAATAGGACACGGCTTCAGGCTCAGAAACCAGACTAGTTTGGAGTCACTGCTGAGGGAAGAGCCTATTTAAAGAAAAGCTTGTAAACACAACCAGCCCTAAATCCTGAATCCCAAACCCACAACCCTGGACCCTACCCAAGCAGGCCGGCAATGCTGCCAAATGCATCGTCGAGGTGCCATCGAAGGTTGTCTGAACCTAAAATACAGGCCCTCACACCTAGACCCCCCAACTACCCTCCAATAGACCCTAAACACTCATTATTGAGGACCATAAGGGCTCCATTAAAGGGCACTTGGGGGGTTCTGGCAATGACTAGGGTAAGGGTCAATGCTTAGCGATCTTATATGCCTCGTTGAAGGTTATATAGGAACTTTGAGGGTGTAATACGGTTTTACCTGTGTGAGTGTGTATAGAAGCTCATAAGACCTCAAGTGTGCAAACTCAAAGTGCAAGATAACGACCACTAAGGCTAACCCAAGCGCATGCTACGGGTCTAGGGTTTGAGGTCCCTACATGCCAAACCCCCAAGTTGAGACCCAACCAAATTGTGCTTCACTATTCAGGGTGTGCTATTCAGAGTTCAGGGTTAAGAGGTTTAGGGTGTTGGATGTATGGTTTTGACTTCAGGAATCGGACTTCAGAGTTTAGGGCTCGGAACTGCGGACTTGGGAAACCCCTCAACCCCATTGCGAAGCCTCCGTGACAACTCCTGAGGCTACCGCCAAGTTCGCTTTGGCGTTGGATAGCATGGACACCTGGCTAAGACAAAGGTCTCGTTCAGGGTTTCAGAAACCGTTTCAGGGTATAGTGTTTTCGGGGTTCTTTCAAGGGTTCCTCACGGGTGCTTAGGGTTCAGAGAAGGGCTTCTGGTTTAGCAGTTACAATAGCATCAGGTCGCGATGTGTGTGGCAGTAGCAGTTGTGGCACTTGCACTACCTGTCGTTGTCGTCGCTGTCGTGTCCGGAAATTCTGGCAGTCTATATGTTGAAGAAACTGCTCTTGTAGCAGTCGCAGCAGGAACAGCATTTTCAGACGAGCAGCAACAGAGATGCTGATGGAACAGGAAGGATGGTAGCCTGAATCAGCAGAACGAGAACAAGAACAAGGCTACAACAACGCAAGCAGCAATAGCAAGAAACACAGCTAGACCAAAAAGACACATTGAGAACATTCACTTACGAGCGATACAGAACTGCGCTTGTCGTTAGTAAACGCACCATGGAAAACACATACATGCAAGAAGCGACAAACTCTGTGACTACGTAACCGTCCACTCGAAACAAATGAATGATTTAGCAACCAGTTAACTAGTCCACATCATCAACCTCGCCATTGCCATTGCGACCATCATCATCAGCACCATCATCATCATCATGATCACCATCATCATGATCGCTGTCATCACTATCACCAGCTGACAGTGTGTAACAAGACCCCGCTGGTAAATGTCATATGTCATGTGTAGGGATAACGACAAAACCGCCAACACGACCAACAAATAGTTACAGTAACAGTTATAGACCCTACACCGCAAACCTTAAACCGACAATCGGAAATCCGAAAACTGCAGCCCCTAAGCCAGGGTTTAGGGCAAAGCCCTCAAGATGATGATGCTGAACCCTAAACCCTAAACCCTAAACCCCTAAACCCTAAACCCCTAAACCCTAAACCCCAAGCCAAGGCACCATTTCAAGGCTGCCGGACTGGACGGCGTAGTGGATAGCTGACCAGCCTTCCCCCCACAGCTTCAGGGCTTAGGATTTCGAGATAAACAGGCTCTGGTATTGGGGTTTGAGGTGCTTTTGGGGGGGATAGGGGTGACGCCACTACTTGCCGGAAGGCCCCCAACCCCCATCAGCTACGTAGACCCCACCAGCCCCAAACAGCCCTATGCCCACTGAAAGGAACCATTAAAGGACCCCTTTAAAGGAGCCCTTAAAGGGACCCTTAAAAGAGCCCTTAAAGGGACCCCTTTAAAGGGACCCGTTTAAGGGAGCCCTTAAAGGAACCCCTTAAAGGAGCCTTTGAAGGAACCCTTTGCTCAACTCTCCGGCCTGTGAGGTCGGACATGCCCACGTTGGCCTTCCTGTTGAGCAGCATCACCGCCCCCTGAAAGGGCTTGGGGTGTAGGGTTTGAGGTTTACGGGTTTAGGGTTTAGGCTTTAGGGGTTTAGGGTTTGAGGTTTAGGGCTTAGGCTTTATCAGGGGTTTAGGGTATGAGGTTTAGGGGTTTAGGGTTTAGGCTTTATCAAGGGTTTAGGGTTTGAGGTTCAGGGGTTTAGGGTTTCGGCTTTATTAGGGGTTTAGAGCTTGAGGTTTAGGGGTTTAGGGTTTAGGCTTTAGGGGTTTAGGGCTTGAGGTTTAGGGTTTAAGCTTTATCAGGGGTTTACGGTTTGAGGTTTAGGGTTTAGGCTCTAGGGGTTTAAGGCTTGAGGCTTTAGGGCTTAGGGTTTAGGCTTCATTAGGGGTTTGGGGTTTGAGGTTGAGCTTTAGGGGTTTAGGGCTTGAGGTTTTAGGGCTTCGGGTTTAGGTCTAGGGGAAGGGTTTTAGGTCTAGGGTTTAGGGGTTTAGGGGTCTAGGGTTTTAGGTTTAGGGTTTAGAGCTTCAATGCTTTAGGCCTAGCATGGTTTTGGGTTTAGGCTGGTTCGGTGTTTAAGCATGTGCAGCATGGGCTTAGCATGGTCAATTTAAGCTTATGCAGCGCTTAAGGTTAGGGTGGTGTAGTCGCTCGGGTTTAAGCCGTACTTTTGTTCAGCTCTTTTCCTCCAAATAAGCGCTGCTAGGCCGTTCAGGGCTTTGGGGGTTCAGGGTTTGAGTCTTCGTCAAGGGCTCGGCTTAGGCTTAAAGGTTAAAGGGGTTTGGGATCTTGGAATGAAGGTTCAGGGCTCAGCCAGACACAACTTACAACCCACAACCCTAAACCCCAAAGGCTACGTATCCGAGCCATGCCTGAGGATCCCCTTCTACACTATTCCGACTCCGACTCCTATGTTATGTTAGCATCCTCAGTCCTGAACTACTCAGACCCTCCAAAATCCCGAAATTAAGGAATATTCCTCTGGCGAACCGAGAACCTGCATCTCAAATACTACATGCTGGACAACACGGCAAACCCTTACAGAAACCCCCAAGCCCCAGACCAAAACCCCTCAAGCGCAGGTAAAATTATGGCCCAATCCTTCTAAAAGGCTATTATTCTACATACTTTTCGGGTCCACCTAGAAACCGTTATAGGAACTCCTATAGTCCTATAGGAACAACCCTGTCGAACCCATATGATTAAACTGTAAAGCCCGATCAAACCTACAGAACCCTGAAAGATCCACTGGCCCGTCTATTCCGCTGCTTCTGAACAGCCGTCAATCCTCAAAAAAGCAACCGCCGCTGCACCTGGTAGTTGCAATGCGCTGCAGCGAAGATGAGGCTGGTGAAGAGCTGCTCCCTTGTCTGACCTGGGTTTTTGCGGTTTAGGGAACAAGGGTTTGGGGTTTAAGTTTAGGGTTTAGGGGTTTGAGGGTTTAGGGGTTCAGGGGTTTAGGGGTTTAGGGATTTAGGGGCTTTAGGGGTTTAGGGGCTTTAGGGGTTTGGGGGTTAGGGGTTTTAGGGACTTTAGGGGTTTAGGCGTTTAGGGGTTTAGGGATTTAGGGGTTTCGGGGTTTAGGGTTTAGGGGTTTCGGGGCTTAGGGGTTTAAGGTTGGCCCCTGCCGTTGGCAACATCTGGCAGAAGCGGGCAGCTTCTTCACACTGAAACCTTCTGTCGTTCAAGATCCGCCGTAAGCGAGAAAACACCTTAAAGTCCCTGCATGGCGCATGACCCTAAACCACCCAAGGAAAATCCTACCGTATATGCACGCGACCCAACAGAAAAACCCTAGAACCCGTAAACCCTACATCTCTTCAGCCCTTAAACCCTCAGCCCTAAAATCCGGTGCTACGCTCTCTGAGGCCCTAAGGAGACATCAAATTGAACCTACTTGGAGGGGCAGGGGACATAGTAAGTCGTTTATAAGTAGGGTTATAATTGGGGTAACTCCATTTAGGGTACTTATAACTCTACTTATAACCTACTTACTAAGTCCCCGGCCCCTCCAAGTAAATCCTAAACCGTTGCAAACCCTAAACCCCTAAGAAAGACGCATCCTGGCCCCTTGAACAACCTGAAACCCCAAACCCTAAACCCGTAAAGAAGAACCTAGGCTTGTACAACCCTTGAACAACCGCAGACCGTAAACCCTAAAGCCGTCAGACAGAATCGAGGGTTTAACAACCTTAAACCCTAACCCTCAACCCGTAGGAAAGAACAGAGCTTTGAACAACCCTTGGCAAAACCTTAAACCGTAAACCAGCAGGACAGAAGCGAGCTTTGAACAACCCTTGACAAAACCTTAAACCGTACATCCGTAGGAAAGAACCGAGAATTTTCAACAACCTTTGACAAAACCTTATACCGTAAACCCGTCGGAAAGAGCCGAGTTTTGAACCACCCTTGAAGAACAAACCCCTAAAATCCTTATAGATGCCTTATAAAATCGTTAAACCCAAAAACCCTAAAACCCCTGAGACAGAGCCGAGGTTTGAACTGTTCACCTGAGCGCCAACTTCGAGCTCGACCTTCACAACCTGCAAAGAAGGATTTTTCCCATTGACGGTTTAGGGTTTAGGGGTCCTGAAGGGAGGGTTTGGGAATTGGGGGTCGTTAAGGGTTTAGGGTTTAGGGTTCAGGGCTTGGGGTCTTTAAAGGGAGGGATGTCTCATATTCGTATGTGTGTATACATACATGTGTATATATGTATATATATATATATATAACTGTATGTGTATATATATATATATATACATACATACATACATAGATAGATAGATAGATAGATAGATAGATAAATAGAAGGCTTATGATCCAGGGCAGGAGCCGCGGCAGGTTGCAAACTTCCCGGCGGAGCACAGCACCAAAAACAACAACCCAAGTCCTTAGAGGATCCCTGTAAAGGAACCCCAGGCTCCTGGAAGTAAACGCGCAAGCTTCTGAATCCTACAACCCTGAAGCCCTAACCGACACCCCTACACCCCTAAACCCTAAAACCCAAAACCCCTAAACCCCTACACCCTAAACGCCCTAAACCCTAAACCCCTACACCCCAAAACCCCCAAACCGCTAAACCCTAAACCCCCAAACCCCTAAACTCCAGACCCTCAACCCCTAAACCCCTAAACCCTGGACCCTAAACCCTATAAACCCTAAAAGAACCCCAGAAGCCGAAAGAGGCCCCCAAGGGGCTCCTGGAAGTTGTTGTTCCGCGCCGCGGCCAAGAGTCGCTCCCCGGCCCCGAGGCCACCCGCCAGAGCCCTGGGCTTTTTGGACTTTTTATGTGAGCCACTGCGTTTATTTATTGCTTGGGCTAATTACGCTATCTCGAAGCGGTGCTAGGGTTTACGGGACTAGGGTTTAGGTTTTTTTGGGGTTTTAGAGGTTTAGGGGTTTGGGGTTTAGCGGTTAGGGGTTTAGGGGTTTAGGGGTTTAGGGTTTAGGGGTTTAGGGATTAGGGTTTGGGGGTTTACGGGTTTAATGGGGTTTAGGGGTTTAAGGTTTTAGGAGTTTAGGATAGTTTAGGGGTTTAGGGTTTTAGGAATTTAGGAGTTTAGGGGTTTGGGGTTTAGGGTTTAGGGGTCAGGTTCCTTGAAGCGCTTCTATAAGGGATCCCTAAGTCAATATGAAATTGGGCCCTACTACGGGTACTTTGTAGGAACCCCCATTAAGGGATCTACTTTTCGGATCCTCCCGGGGGTCTGGGTTTAGGGTGTAGAGCTAAAGGACTAAAGGATCCATAAGCGTGCAAGGGTGTAGGATTTAGAGTTTCGAGCTGGCTTGCGGAAGGTCTAGGGTGCTAGGGTTCCTTTAAGGGTTCCTAGGGTGTTAGGGTTCCTTTAAGGGTTCCGGATCCTCTAAGGGTTCGATAAGGGATCAAGGGGAACCCATGAGGGATTCTGTCGGAGTTTAGGACCTCTGGGGTTTAGGGTTTAGGACATTGCATGCAGCTGCAGAACATGTGGTTGCATCTTCTGATAACGCAGTCGCGCTCACGGTTTTCTGCAGACAGTTGAGACACCTGAAAGGTAAGAGATGCCACCTCCTCCAGCAGCTCATGCATGCGAGAAGAGAAAGCCTTTTGCAGCTCAAACAGGTCTTGAAGTGCACCACAGTGTCAACGTTCTGTGCAATACAGGCACTTGTTCGTGCACACGAACTCTGTGTGCCATTCACTATAGTGGATATCGAGCCTACACCCTAAACATTAAACCCTTAAAGACTACACCCCTAAACCCCAAACCCTAAACACTAAAAACTAAACCTAGCATCACCGGTCACTTGGACTTCACATCTAGGGCTCGGATTCGACGTGCTTCTCATAGCCAGTATGCTCGTGCATATCACTGCCCGCGTACAGTACGTGGCCCAAAATGTTTTAGGGTTTAGCGCTTAGGGTGATTTCAAGCGGCTTCCTCTACTGCTTTAGGCTGAGTGTTTCTGGGGTTTTGGGTTTTCGCGTTCAGGGTTCAGGGCGTTGTGGTTAGTGCAGTATCAGCACATAGAGACTACAGGGGATCTTCTTCCTAATAGTTCCGACCCCACATTACCTTAAAACTACACACCTCATTATCCTTCGAGAACCTTCATGCAGTCAGAACCCTGAGCCCTAAACCCTAAACCCCGAAACCGTGAACCACGCGCGTGTTCCAAGTGCCGAGCGCTTCCAGGGCATGACGCACCTTTGGGACAGCGCTTGAAACCCGTCGCGTGCTGTTGAAAAAAACCGGATTCCAGATTTAGAATTCCTATAGGGTTGAGGGTTCAGGGTTTAGGGTATAGGGTTACTACATGGGGGTTACTATATAAGGATTGCAAGATAAGGATTACTATATAGGGGTTACGATAGAGAGATTACTATATAAGGGTTGCTATATAAGGATTACTATATAAGGGTCACTATATAGGGATTACTATATAGGGGTTACTATATACGGGTTACTATATAAGGATTACTATATATCCTAAACCGCCAACCTCAATACAGTCTAGTGTTCGGTTTGGGCACTCGCACCCTTGATTTTGGGCCGTTGGGTCAGCGGGGAAAGGAAGTCTCACAGTCTACATTGGTTCTTTCCTTGGCCGTACCGTCCAGAGATGGTACAGTGCATCGTACAGTATAAGGATCTCGGGACTACAAGGGAGTGTCATTAATTGATGTCCAGGTTTCATGCTTCGCCTTTACTTCCCTTACTGTTTCTTTTCTGGGACTTGACTACAACAAACATAACCACACAACCGTGTTGAAGTAGAAAAAATCGTTTCAAAGCCCACAAACAAAGTAAATAAACCCTGTATGACCTACAGTATTAAAAGGGGCCTCTATTTCAAACCCCAAACCTAAAGCCTAAGCCCCTTGTAGATCCTTTGTAGAACCCTGGAAGGAACTTTGGAACCTTGAATGAAGGGAACTATGAAAACTGCAATAAAGCCACAACCGGGTTTCGGGTTTAGGGTTGGGGGTTGAGGGGTTACTTAAAGGATCATGGGACTTAGTAACTAGGGTTATAATTAGGGTAACTATACTTATAGCTACTTATAACCACAATTAAGGTACTTATAACCTTACTTACTAAGTCCCATGATCCTCCAAGTAGTAAACCCTAAACCCTAAACCCTACACTGGCCTGATCTCCCTGGAGCTGAAGATGATCGAGCACCTGCACGGGAAAGCGAGCGTTCCTTCTTATCGGGCTCAGAGTTTGGGGAGCTAGGCTAGGATAAGGGCTTAAGGCTTAGGTTTTAGGGTTTCGGGTTTAGGTTGGGCTTACGGTTTCGGTGTTGGGGTTTTGGGTTTAGGGTTTGCGGGTTCGTGTTTAGGGGTTAGGGCAAAAGGGTTCAAGAAGTCTCTCTGCAGGACTTGAAGGAGTTGACTGCGGGTGTGATCAAGGCTTTTCATAAGGGTTTCACCGGCGTGCTTATATGATACTTTTACAACGGCTTTATGCAAAGGCTCTATAGAAGCTTGTAGAAATATGGCTTGTGATTGACCGTGCCCCCCATTACGCGTTCGTACTTATTCACTCTCCAACATTATGCAATGACCCTAAGCCCCAAAATCCTACACCCTAAACCTCAAAACCCGGAGCCCTGAAGCCTCCGCCACTGGGGGTGCTAAGCTCGGAAAGCCGTCGAAGCCGAACGTGAGCAACCGCAAAGCGTCCGAACTGCTGATGGACAAAATCCTGCATGACCCTAAGGACTCTAAACTATGGGGACTATGGTATATTCCTTAGAATGGGTAATGCAGGATTTTGTCCATCAACAGGAAGCTCGAGAAAAACACGAATTGGGCTCTCCAGCAGAGCCTCGATAATGAAGATACCCTGTGTACTACTGTCTGGTGTTAGTTTGGAAACCCGAAGACTAAACACCCTAAACCCTAAACCCCTAAGCCCTAAACCCCTAAACCCTATAAACCCTATACCCTAAACCCCTAAACCCCTAAACCCTAAACATGGCAAAAGGGTATTACTGGGGAACCTAACGAACGACCAGAAGACCAGATCCTCGAAGAGAAGCACACACACACACACCCACACCTGTACTGCCCCTGAAACCTAAGCCCTCAACCCTAAACCCATAACTCTAAACCCTAAACCCTAAAAATACTTAAACCCTAAACTCTAAACCCTCAACCCTAACTACTTAAACCCTAAACTCTGGACTCTAGGCCCGAAACACGTAAAGATTTAAAACCATGAAGCCTAAAACCCTAAACACCTCAACCATGAACCGTAAACACTTAACCCATGAACCCGAAGCCCTAAACCCTACCACTTACAGATTTGAACCATGAACCCTAAACCTCACTGGCCCGAAACCCCAGAAAATAACAGTTCAAACTTTCTATAAGAACCCCAAAATTTGAAAAGCTGAGTTTACAGTCAATCAGAAACATTCCAACCCTAAACTCCAAGTAGACCCTAAACCCCCGAAACCCTAAACCCCCTGATAGAACCCTCATGGAACCCTTAAAGTGTTTTCTGAACCCTAAACTCTAAACCCTAAACCCTAAACATCCCAACCCTAAACTCTAAACCCTAAACCCTAAACCCTAAACCCTCAACACTAAACTTTCCAACCCTAAGCTCAAGACCCTGAAGCCGGCCAGAACACGCCTCGGAGCACTCGTTCAGCACCTTTCAAGGACGAGGGTGTTGGGTCAGGATTTAGGTGTTTCCGAAAAAAGGGGGGGTACCTTATTTTGGGGTCCTTATAATAAGGATCCTACTACTTAGGGTACTATATTATATTAGGGTCCCCTATTTTCGGAAACTCCCATTTAGGGAATGGGCTTTAGGGTTTCCGAGAGGGTCCCAGTACTCCCTATTATAATTTAGGGCCTGATTCGGTACCAAAACCACAAAGAAGCACTACCTGGACCCTTCGGGTGTGGCGTTGAGGGTTCAGAGCGTTTGGGTTTGGGATTAGGTTTTAGGATGTGGGGTTTCGGGTTTAGGGTGTGAGAAGCTGGTAGCCCTTAAGGCCAGTGCTTCGCGTTGGTAGGGGCAGCCTGATGAGTGGCTGTACTCGCCAGTGCCGGTGGGCAGATCATATTGATCAGGTATAAAGGTCATACACATCGGGTTTTGGTTTTAAAGATTGGTTACCTTTAACCCTACCTACTAAGTGCCGCTATTCTTTACGGCCTAAACTACTAAAGAAGCCTTCAAGCTACGTCGCGCACCTCGAGAAAGACAGAGATCTTCGACAGTCTTGGGTTTTTGGCGGTTTCTAGCATGTCGTCGGCATGCTAGTCATGCTCATGTCATCATCATAGCGTCAACGTCATGTCATGTTCATATCATCATCATGTCGTCTTCATGTCATCATGTCGTCATCATCATGCCATGCCCATGTCATCAACACCACAATGTCGTCATCATCACGTCGTCATCACCACGTGGTCATCAGCATGTCGTGATCAAAGCCGCACAATGCTGGGGATCCGGACGTTCGGGTCGGCGCTGTGCTGGGCAAGCACGATGACCAGGTCAACACAACAACCCATCATCGACCTCGGGTTATGAGAGCTTCAGGAAAATTTGAAAGAGGGTTAAGGGTTCGGGGAGGATCGATGGGGGATGAATCTACCACAGGAGGGAGTCTGTAGTTTTGTTTCCTTGCAAAGATTTCCTGAAGGAACACTATAATGGTTCGATAAGAGCTTCAGGAAAGCTTCGACAGAATGTCTAAGGTCTGGGGAATTGAATAGGTGCACGGTTTGGAACTTAGGCTTCAGCAAGGGCTTCATCATTCACTACTTGGAGGATCATGGGAGTTAGTAAGTCAGGATATAAGTACCTTAATTGGGGTTATAAGTAGTTATAAGTATAGTTACCCTAATTATAACCCTAGTTACCAAGTCCCATGATCCTTTAAGTAGGATGCAAAGGGTCCCTTTTTGGTATTGGGTAACTTTATAGGGCACCTAGGAATACGGAAAGAGAATAAGGGTACTTCTGGGCATCCCAGTTAAGGTTCTACAACGCTTCCCCAAGTATTAATAAGGCTACAAGGCTTCGTTAAGGCCCGATAGGGCTTCCTCGGCACTGCATAGGGTTCTAGGCTTCCTTGCGAAGCTGCGTGGTACCACAAGCATTTCAGAAAGGAGCCGGTGGCTTCTGTAGGGTTTTATGAGGTCATAAGGGCTCCATATGGGTTCTTCTTGGGCATTTGCTGTTTCGAGATTAAGGTTTTCTACTGCTGCTGCTGCTGCTGCTGCATACGATTGCCAAACTACTACCTGCCCTGCCAGTTACGAACCACAAACTGCTAGCTGCTTTACTACGTATATACTAGCTACGGACTATGAATGCTACTTGCTACTGGTTACTAGCTCATAAATAGTAGTTACTTGTTGCTAGACTACGCACCACGAACTTACTACCAAATACCCTAGACTACTCACTACTCACTACCAGCTTCTGGCAGCTACTACTGATTAAATACTTACTGCTTACAACATACTCCTTGGTACTTACGTCTTTGCTAGTGACAATTTACTACTTACTGCTTACATGCTACTACTGACTGCGTAGTACCTGCTACTTTCTACTCAATCCTTACTACTTACTACTAGCTACTCGCTACTTCTACGGTTAGCTACTTCCTAATTTGCAAGGTTTTAGTCTTTTACTACGCTACCAAGCTACTACTTATTGCTAGTGCTTGTTACTACTTACTAGTTGCCACATATTACCTACCACTTGCTCACAAATTATCAACTACTACTTACTTACCGCGTACTGCTTACTACTTACGGCTACGACTTGCGAGTTACGACGACTGCGGCTGCTGCTGCTACAACTACTGCTACTACTACTACTACTACTGCTACTACTGCTACTACTGCTACTACTGCTGCTACTGCTGCTATTGCTGCTACTGCTACTGCTACTGCTACTGCCACTGCCACTGCTACTGCTACTGCTACTGCTACTGCTACTGCTACTACTACTACTACTACTACTACTACTACTGCTGCTACTGCTCCTTCTTGATTCTTCTCCTGCTACTATTCTTCTTTGTGCCACTGAATGCTACCTCTATTGCTACCCCTAATTCGTAAACCTGATGCCGTTAATCTATCACCACAAGGCTCGGACCAAACCAAAGCAGTCCACCCCTGCTCGTCCCGGGCATCGACGTAGGCGCCTTCTTCCAAAGCCTCTTAGACGGAATTTAAGGTTTAGGGCTTAAAGTTTGAGGTTTAGGACTCGCGGTTTCAGGGTTTAGGATTCAGGGCTGAGGGTTCAGAGGCGCCTTCTTCAAAGCCTCTTGGCATAGTTGGGGAATCTAGGGATTTGGAGGGTGAGGGTCTGGGGGTTTCCGAAAAATGAGCCCGAAAAGGCCATAAACAATAGAGCCCTAAAGCCTTAAACTGGCACAAGGAGGAGTTAGAGGTTTGAGGGAACTTAAGCGTGGGGTTCAGAGTTCAGGCTTGCGGGCATCGAGTTCCGATATATTCATAGTATAGTTCAAACTAGGGAACCTTCGAATACAATAGTGTTAAACATTTTGGCATAAGGAACACCAAGGAATAATAGCAGACTGTTGGGGTGCAGAGTTTCAAGGCACAGGAGCCGGTTTCAGGTCTTGCCGCCAACGGGCGGTTTAGGTTTAGGGTTTAAACCCTAAACCGTGTTCTGGTTTGGGTTTAGGGCCTAGGGTTGAAATTACGCAACTAACGATTGGAAGGGTACTACTGGGGAACCTAATATAGGGGCCTTAACAATTAGAACAGTGTTTTGGGGCCTATTAGACCATAATTATACTAAGCAACCCCAAAACAGTACCCTAAACCCCTAAACCCTAAACCCTAAACCCTAGACCCTAGACCCTAAACCCTAAACCCTAAACCCCAGACCCTAAACCCTAGACCCTAAACCCCATTTAGGCCCCTGTATAAGTAAGGGAGGCCTCAACGGGGAGCCTCTTAAAAGGCCGAGCCCCAGCCCCACCGTCCTTACCCCCAGACCCAGAGACTCCAATATCCCTTAATTAAGGAATATTCCTTAAATCATATTAAGGATCCTACTATAAGTTAAGGTATACTCCTTAAATAAGGAATATTCCTTAAATCATATTAAGGATCCTACTATAATTTAAGGTATATTCCTTAATTAAGGGGTATTGGAGTCTCTAGGGACCCTACTTAGAGGCCCAGGGGACTTAGTAAGTAGGCTCCTAAAGGACTCCTTTTAAAGGGATCTATAGGGTTCCTTAAAGGGATCTAGGGGGTTTAGGGTTTAGGGGTCTACTTGGAGGCCCAGGGGACTTAGTATTTATAAGTAGGGCGATAATTGGGGTAACTCCATTTAGGGTTTAGGGTTTAGGGTTTAGTATGTATAACTTTACTTATAACCTACTTACTAAGTCCCCTGCCCCTCCAAGTAAACCCTAAAAGGGGTGTAGCCTTACCTACTTCTAACATCTTTCAAGAAGGAGCGGGCTTTTAATTTGTCGATACCTTGTTCAGGGATAGATTCTGGCGCACCAGCATGTCAAGACTGCTCCTCGGCAGTGAGACTTGAGAATTCAGACTTTTAATTTTCTGTCTACAATTTGGAGCGTAGCGTTCAGGATTGACGCTTTCTGCCCGAGCATGGCTTCTAATTACAGCCTTCGCATGTACCGAACAGCCCTGTGGATGCCTCGACCGCGGAGTCTTTGCTGCCACCTCGGCTGCGAAACGGCAATGCGGCTTGGAGGCGCTTTGGTGCTTCCACTTTCGCGTTTCAGTGCTTAGGGGTACTATACTGAACTTAGAACCCTAGCACAAATCATAATTTTAGCTGTTTCTTAGGGATTATAATAACCAAAAGTCAAAAATTATTTCTAAGTACCCCTAAGGGTAAGTGTTTTGAATCTATGCTCTGCGTGCTGCATATTGCTCAGGCTTTCCAGGGCCTGGGACTTTTCCTTCAGCTGCATTGCTTCAGTGAGCTTCCACGCATTCCTGCTCGATACTGGGTTCCTTTAAAGGGGTCCTTTAAAAAGGATACTGTAAGGGATCTATAAGAGTACCATAATATACTAGGATACCCAGTAACCTAAGAATAAAAAGGCCTCCCTTTTTGATATTGGGTAACTTTACAAGGAACCTAGGACTACAAAAAGGGAATAAGGGCACTACTGGGCATCCTAGTCGCTGGAGCTGACGAACTCTTCGGCTTTCGTACGCTCTTGCTTGATTTTTTTTGGCCTCGTACGACTCGGGCTCACCCTTACCCTTATACCATTGCCAAGTGAAGAAATTCTTCTTCTGCCAGGCTGGAAGGTTCACCCAGCTTTTCGAATCCGACTGCAGCTTGTTGAAGGCATTCTGCGATCGGGCCACCTCCTCTTCAGCATTTTGGAGCTCTTGCACCAGCGACGAATTTTCGTGCTGTGCTTGGCCTAGCTCCATCAAAACACTGGAACCGTCCGGCATAGCAGGTGGTGGCGGAATCCCTGGCGGAGGCACGAGTTCAGGTTTAAGGTTTACGGGAGTAAAGGCCAAACCCCTAAAACCCCTAAACCCCTAAACCCTGAACCGAACCCCCAAACCCTAAACCCCTAAACCCTAAACCCCTAAACTCTAAACCCTTGAACCCCTAAACCCTAAACCCCTAAACTCTAAACCCTTGAACCCCTAAGCCCGAAACCCTAAACCCCAAGACGAATGAGTCCCCCAAATGAAAGACTCGAAGGCGAAGTACCCGCAGCTCGAACTCTCCATCCCGGACCTAAACCCTACTTGGAGGCCCAGGGGACTTAGAAAGTCGGTTATAAGTAGGTTTAGAACTGGGGTAATTCCATTTAGACTACTTATGACTGACTTCTAACTCTACTTGTAATCTACTTGGGAAGTCCCCTGGGCCTCTACGTAAACCCGGGACCCTCGCCTTAGGGTTTAGGGCTTAGGGTTTTGGTCTTAGGTTTTAGGGGTTTAGGGTTTAGGTTCAGGGGTTCAGGGCTTCAGGGGTTTAGGGGGTGGACGGGTTGGGTCTGCCCAACCCAAAATTTGCGCGTTGATGAAATCCTCCAAATTACTGTGTAGTCCTTCGCTAGGCGGAAGCTGGTTTTAGGAAACCCTGAAAGGCGCGAAGCCCTAAGCCCTAAACCCTAAGCAATGGCCCCTCCGCTCCGGCCCCCAAGCCCTACATAGGTAGTTCTCTAAATCATGCGGGTCCCTTTTACTTGGAGGTGCAGGGGACTTAGTAAGTCGGTTATCAGTAGGGTTATAATCGGGGTAACTCCATTTAGAGTACTTATAACTCTGGGCCTCTAACGGTTGATGATTACCGATAATGGGGAATATGCCATAATTCCCATAGTTTAGGGTCCTTAAGGTAATGCAGGATTTATATCACCAACCTTCAACCCTAAACCCTATAGATCCCTTAAAGGAAGCCCTTAAAGGTACCCATATAGATCCCTTTAAAGGAGCCCTCAACCGAAGTAGTGTCCTCTTTAGAAGTGTTAAGTGACCTAAGGGCCCCTAATCTAGAGAACTACTCACATTATACCCCAAGCCAAAGCCCTGAACCCTACCGGGTTGAAGCCTTAGGGTCCCTAAACCCTGGTACCGGCTATAGTGTTCATTGTAGTTCTTTTTTTGGTGTAACCAGTTATATATATATATAATACAATAGAATACATATATATATATATATATATGTATCTATATAGGATCCTATGAGCTATTCACAAAAAGGAACTGCAAGTACAATGGAGGCCGTAGGTAAAAATCTAAGCTTTAAACCCTATACCCACCCTAAGCCTGGAAGCCCATCCTTGAAGCCCAGAGCCTCCAAAACCCCTTAATTAAGGAATATACCCTAAAGTATAGTAGGATCCATAATATGATTTAACGTATATTCCTGAATTAAGGGGTTTTGGAGGCTCTGGGAAGCCCACTCAACTCCCCTAAATCGCCGTTAAACAACCCACACTAAAACCTATACTGAACTTAGAACCCTAGCAACAATTATAACTTTAGCTGTTTCTTGGGGATTATATTAACCAAAAATTAAAAATATTTCTAAGTACCCCTCATAAAGCCTGAGCCAACCCCTATTCAAAAAAAGAATTACCCAGCACGACCCTGCAGTGAACCTGGAAGTGAACTCCGCAATTAAACCGCTTCAGTAAACAAACACGAACTGTCAAAACAAAAAGACCCAAACGTCAAACCCTGGACCCTAAACCCTAAACCCTAGCAAACGCTACAGAGGGCCATGCGCTGTGCTGCCTGTAGAAGCTGCTGGTTCCTCTGTTCTGCCTGCTTGGGTTGAAGAGTTCAGGGATCAAGGGTACCCTAAACCCTAAACCCTGAACCTTTAACCCTGCACCCTAAACCTTAAACCTGTGAGGCCCTTTAGAGCTTCCTCTAAAGCCCTAAACCCTAAACGACCCTAACTACTAAAGGCTTCCTTTTCAAGGGTTCCTTCAAGGGTGTCTTTGAAGGGTTCCTTTGGGGGCCTGGTCAGGGTTCTGGAAGGGTTTGGGACTTCGGTTGGGAGGTTGCCGGAGGTTTTGGGGCTTACTTAGGGTTTAGGGCTTAGGGTTTTGGGCTTACGGTTTATAGGGTTTAGGTTCAAGGATTCAAAGGTTTTTTGGGGTTTGAGGGGCTCCTTGTACCCTGCACCCTAAACCCTCTTAGGGTTCCTTCCTGGGTTTTTAGAAAGGATCCGTCGTAAGGCCTACAGTAGAAGCCAGAAAGTTGGAATATCATTATCGTTTCCCCTTTAAGGTAAATTATAGGTATTATAGGGCATCCAACCATGAAACCATATTCCAACTTTCTGGAGTTCCCTTTAGAGGGAAGGATCCTCCAAGGAGTCACCGCGCGGCATCTCCAAGCAGCCCGACAAGCATGATCTTCTCACTACCCTACAGGGAACTCCAGAAAGTTGGAATATGGTTTCATGCTAGGATACCCTATAATCTACCATAAAGGGTTTAGGATAATCATATTCCAACTTTCTGGCTTTTCCTTTAAACTCTAAACCCGCCCATGAACCCTACCTTAACCTACCACAACCTACTTTTTGGGAGGTTCTTACTATAAACCCTGGTTTGGATTTTATAGGGACCCTACAAAAATAGGTTGTGGTGGGTTAGGGTAAAGCCTAAAGAAACCCTCAACTATGCTGAACTTGGACCCCTAGCGACAAGTATAATTTTGACAACCACCCCCCCCCCCCTAGGGTTCAAGGCTTTAGGAACTCTAGCGCCCAGACTCACCACAAGCTCCTAGCTGCCACCAACCGAGCAATCTTACACCAAATCCCACCATATAGTAGAGCTCCTGCTTCGGCGGTAACATGATACAGCTTATAGAGGGGCTACCGGATACTACCATTGAGTATTCAATGCATTTCAGCCCCCCATAAAAATTGAAACAGCCCCCCCGACGGCGAAGAGCCTCAAGCAGGGACATGCGCAACTCCAGGTGGTCTTGCCTTAGCACCCAGCTGCAGATGTAGGGTTTACGGTTTACGGTTTAGTTACGGTTTAGGGTTTAGGGTTTAGGGTTTAGGGTTTACGGTTTAGTTGTTCGGGGAAAAGCCTGCAATTGCCCGTTTCCTAAACCCTAAAGCATGAAACGCCAAACTCTGAAACCTTAACCGTGACAGTCCTAAACACCCCATCCCAGCCCGAGAAGATCCGTATCAAGAGAGTTTGAACCCCTTAACACCACAACGAAAATACCCCTTTAACACCCAGACCCAGACCCAATGCATAAATTTCCGGAAAAACCGACGTCATAAATTTGACTCCTACCTCTTCAAGCCCTAAACCCGAAATCCTCAAGCCCTACACCCTAAACCCCGAACACCCTGAACCCTAAACCCCACACCCAAAACCCTAAACCCACCTACGCCCTAAACCCTCAACCCGAGAGATCCCTTATGAATCCCTTTAAGGAACCCTTATAGATCCCTTGAGGAAACCCGAAATCCTAAACCCTAGTGTTTTTGTTGGGGTTCCCGGCGCATGATCGGCCACCGCCATGCCGAACTTATCGCAGATGTTCAGGTCGAAACCTGGCTTTTCATTGCTCCTTTGAAGGGCTCCTTTACGGAATCCTCTGAGGGGTTCTTGCTTAGGGTTTCAGGCAATTTCTTAAAGCTTCAGGGTTTAGGGCTTAGGGTTCTTTGAACGGTTCCTTTAGGCCTACTTGCAGGTTCGGGGGTCTTAGTAAGTAAATAACAAGTAGACTTTTTGAGTATCATAACCCCAATTAGGATTCCGCTTTAGGGTGCCTATAACTCTACTTACCACCCACTTACTAAGTCCCCGGAGCCTCCAAGTAGATGTCAAAACGAAACAAAAAACAAAGGAAGCCGGGCCCTGCCATCCCGGAGCAGGCTGAGCGGAAAAGTTTACGGTTTAGGGTTTAGGCTTTAGGCTGTAGGCTTTAGGGTTAAGTGTTTAGCGTTTTTTAAAAGCTCATAGGAGGGCTAGGCGCTGAGGCTGAGTCGTCCTTTAAGCCCTTTGAAAATTATTTACGATGATGGTCCTCTACAAAATAGTAGGGGAAATTAAAAAAGATCCCAAAGGACAACCCAGGAGGGTTCATTTTGATCAAGTTCGGAGAACGAGCCCGAGGAAACACCACCGGTGATTCTGCAGGTTCTAGAAAAACAAGCTGGGAAACAGCAGTCAGAGCGGTAGAATGCCAGCTGCACGAAAAGTAGTTCCCACTGTCTTTGCTACGCTGAGGCCCCTACGGAGATTCATACTCTACACCCAAGTCCGAAACCCTAAACCCTACAGCAAACCCGGAACCCCTAAACCCCCTCAACCGAAAACCCTCAAACTCTCTTCCGCCCCTACCTCGATCCAGAAGGACGGCCAGCCTCAGCCGATTCGGGTTTTCTTGGGGCTTTGGGGGCTTAGGTTTCAGGGTTTATAGGGTGTAGGTTTGGGTACTTAACGTTCAACATTTAGGGTTGACGGGTTGGGGCTGAGTTCAGAGTTCAGGGATTAAGGTTCAGGGTTTAGGGTTTACGATCTAGGGTGCAAATCATATTTTGCGCTGCTCGCCTTTTTGTGATCCTCCAATCCAGTTAATAAAGAGGCCGACAAGGGACCCTAATTTAGAGAACTACCCATATAATCCCAACATAGAAGGTATAAGGATCCCAAAAGGACCCTAACTAGAGACCTAAGCCCAACATAGAAGGTATAAGGACCCCACGCTCTAAGCATTGTCAGTGCAACATGCCCGCGATCGTCGAGTCGATAGGAACTCCGATCGTACGGGCCCTTTGCGGCGAAGACAACGGAGCAACGTGGAGGCCCAAATAACTTAGGTGGAGTACTAAAGCCTACATCCCAAACCCCAAACCCTAAACCTCTAAGCCCAAACCCCTCATGCCCACACCCCAGAAACCGAAAATTCCCGAACCCGAGCGCCCGACGCTTCAGAATGGCCATGCTTCGCCGCCCACATGGCCTCCACCCCGAAACACCTGAAACCTGGACCTCAAACCCTAAACCCCGAAAACCTGAGGCCTAAATCCTAAATCCTTCACCCTAAATTCCCTGAAGATGGATTTTCTAGCCCAATTTCTCCGGCTCGGGCCCCGCACGGTTCTGCTAAAATGAGTTTTCTTAAACGATTATAAATAGTCTAAGGAAACCCTGAAGGTTTCAGGTCGAGAGTTGGGCTTGGTTGTGGGACTTTTGGTTTGAGTCTCAGGCCGGTAGGACCGGATAAGAGGTTCAAGGCCATAATCTGCGTACTGTACTTGGAGGCCCAGGAGACTTAGTAAGTAGGCCTATCAGGGGTTCCTCCTCTAAAGGTTTAGGGTTTAACAGGCCCTTTAAAGGTTCTTCAGCAGCTATATAGTAGAATATGGAAGGTACTTGGAGGCCCACGGGACTTAGTACAAGTAGGGTTATAATGGGGGTAACTTCATTTAGGGGACTTTAGACTTGAGCGTTTCGTGTACTTGGAGCTCAACATCATGAGGCAAAAACCCTTTGTGTACCCATCCCATCACCGCACACACTCTACGGTTTTGGGGCTTAGGTGTTGCGGCTTAGTGCTTTGTGTCTTGCTGGTCTTGAGCAAGATCGGATGTGCCTGCACCCTAAGCTCCAACTGCCCAGAGACTCCAATACCCCATAGTTAAGGAATATTCCTTAAATCATATCGGAGAGTTCTTGCATCCCGCAGCGAGAGAGAAGAGCCCTGAATCCTAAATCCTAACTCCTAAATGCTGAAACCCTAAACCCTACACCCTCAAACACTGACTCCTTCAAACATCTGTAGAAGTACCTTAACTGGGCTTATCATTAAGTACCGTTAGAGTTACCTCATTTACATCGCCAGTTACTAAGTGCCATGGAGCTCCAAAACATCTGTAGAAGCTCCGAAACCCCTAAACCCTAAAGCCTAAACCCTCAAACCCTGAATCTTTCAAACAACTCTAGACGCTCCGAAATCCCCAAAGCGAAATCATGCCACGGCCTCTGTGCGGCCATCCAGGTCCTACAAGTGGGGGTCAGTGTGGTCGGCTTGATTGGGGCGCTACTGTATGTGGTTTTACAGGGCTTTACCGGGTGTTAAAGGTTTGGGGTTTCTGCTTTCTTCAAAGCCTCAAAGGTGCATAGTTTTAGGGCTGCCTGTAGTTTATGAGGCTTTAGGAAAGGGGCCTCTCACTATCTAGAGCAATTTATATAAGGGTTTAAGGGTTTTCGGGCTTTTAACTCAGGGATCAGATCTAAGGGCTCAGGGTTCGTAGGGTGTAGGGTTTAGGGTTTAGGGTTTAGGGTTTAGGTAGCAGGAAACCCCGAGGATACCACCCTGAAGTACTCGGACCACTATTGGCAGTTTCCTAAATTAGGCTCCCTTTTGGGCTCCCTCTTGTAAGGGTGCTGTACTAGTTTGGCGGACCCTAGATGACTACCCATAAACAAGGCTTAGAGTGTGCAGCAGCGATGGACCATGGTGAGAAGCAAGACCTGAAGCCCCAAAGCATTCAGAATACTAGTATTTGATAGGTATTGTGTTGAGGGTTCGTGGTTTAGAGTCCAAGGTTTGGGGTGTGGGATTCGGCGGTTCAGGGTTAGGTAGGTTGAGGGCTCGGAGAACTGTCGTCCGCATAGCTGCCGACAACGCCTAGTCACTAGTCTTCTTAATTATGAAAAACTCGTTTTGGTGGTATGTTATACTAAAAGAACCGGGAACCCATTCCGGCCCCTGTATTGCATAGAATAAGGGGGTACCTCATGTTGGGCTCCTTATTCTTGGCTGACTTCTGGACCCCCACCTAAAAGTTAAACTTTTAATAGTTCATATAGAAACCCAAAAAGTTAAAGTCCTAAGAGCCAACCAGAAGAACACCAAGTTATAGTATGCCTGTCGGTTTCAGTGGTTTGCATAAGCCCTAAACCCTAAACCCCCAAACCCCAAAACCGCCCAAAGCCTTGCTTTCGTGTTGTGCGCTTAGGGTCTGTGTTTAGGGCCCCTGTCCTCTGCAAGTCCCTTATCTACTCGGTTTAGGGTTTAGGGTTTAGGGTTTAGAATATTACAGCAGGCTTGTGAAGCCTACTGCAAGGGGGTATTCTTACCAATGTTTCGGCTGTCGCGACTAGAATCCTATTCTTCGGGGTTCCTTGATAAACTTCTACTAAACCAACCCAACAGAGACCTGTTCGAATGACAAATGCCCCTATACTACTTCTTCATCTTCAAACTCATTCTGGCCCCAATGTGAGCGTCCTGTATGGCCACAGCTGCCTTGGCAGCGATGAGAGTCGTCGCAACCTCGGTCTCTTTTGCTGTTGGGAGGATGACTTTGTTAGAACGGTGCCTGAGAGCTTTAGGGTTTAGAGCTTAGGAGGATTGGTGAAACTTCGGGTTTAGGGGTTGGCATTGTGGCGCTCAGGGTTTGAGACTGGTTTCTTGTGTTTAAGGCTTCGTGTTTAGGACTCTTGGGCTTACAGTTTAGGGCTTTGGAGTAAGGACTGTGGCAGGCTGAAACGACTCGTCAATCAAACTGAAAGCATGTGCCTTGCCAAGCAAGTCACGCATGTAGAGCCTGAGTATCTGGAATGCGGTCTAGGCGGTATCTCATAGTCTAGCTATTTGAGAGACTATACTGCATTATTCAGACCCCTTTGCTGCAAGTACGGTGAGGAAGTGGGGCCTGTCAGGAAACTAAGGTGCTCTTGCTTAGCCCTACTAATAAAAAACCGTGAACCTTGAACACTAAAGACTCTAAACCTAAACCCTAAACCTGAAAAGCTTAATCCCTAAACCCTGAATCCTAAACCTTAAACCCTAGACCCTAAGCCTTGACCCTCACACTTTAACCCTAGCTCTTGAACCCTTACCCTTAAACCCGAAACCTTAAACCGCTAAGCCCTGAACTAGAGCCTGGCTCGCACCCAAAGTTCGGGTTGCCGGCATCAGAGTGGCCGGTGGCGCAGGCCCAGTGCAGGGGCGTCCAGCCTTTGACAGCTTGTTGGCTTCTTGATTCCGGTTTATGTTTGAGGGTTTATAGGGTTTTGTTGCCAAAACCCCCTATACTACCTGTCAAATCCCAACACTTTAAACCCTACAGGACAAACAGCTAAACACACACACCTAGACCCGAAACCCCAGGCACCCCGCCGTTGATTTCGTTCACGTCGGAACCTGGTTAACACACCGTTGCTCTTAATGCTTCTTAATGTAAACCCCCTGAACAATAAACCCCACTTCTTGAAGGGGCCTCAAGTTAGGCTCCCGACTATTATATTAATACCCGATCATCAAGGGATAATCAAGGGTCTAGATTCGAACCAAGTGTGTCTTGAGCAGGGACCTACATCGGCATTGGGTGTTAGGGGCTGTAATACACGTCAGGAAACAGAAGATCCCCGCCACTCAAAGGGTTTGGGGAAAGTTTAGGGGCTTAGGCTTCAGGGCTTAGGGTTTTAGGGGTTTAGGGTTTAGGCTTTAGGGTTTTAGGGTTTTAGGGTTTTAGGGTTGAGGGTTTAGGGTTTAGGGTTTAGGGTTTTGGGGTTTGGGGTTTAGGGCTTTAGGGTTTTAGGGTTTAGGCTTTAGGGTTTAGGAGCCCAGCCCTAAACCCTAAGCCGTCTACTCCGCTGCCATGCCCACCCAGTACAGAGCGTCTTGATGCCGCAAAACCGGGTTCCGTTCGGGTTCTATAGGTCCGATAGAGGGGCTCGACAAAGGGTCTATGCTCTAAAGACCCTGATCCCCAAACGCATGTAACTCTTCGAAGATTTTTCGAGCAGAGGTCCAGCGTCAGTCGCCTGGGGCCTACTCTGCTGATATGGGCTGCACAGGGCTTCGCGCGAAGTAACACTTTGGATTTCGGGTTTTGGGCTGCAGGACGCCAGTTTTACGGCAGCTCAAACTCTCGACCCTAAACCCTACACCATAAACCCTCAACCCTAAACCTACATCCTTCTAAACACTATCAGAAGTAGAACAGGCAGACAGGTGAAGAGCTGCACCGAATGCAGCGGCTAGGAACGAGACTCGGAATCCTTCCCGCGGTTGTGACTCGCCGATCCCAAACCCTCTCATTCGGTTTAGGGTTTAGGGTTTAATCTAGTTCCAGGGCTGAGGGCTTGGATAGGGCTTAGGGTTTAGGGTTCAGGGTTTGAAGGGTTTCGTTTAGGGTTTAGGGTTTAAGGATGCACTCAATTCGCTGCCGAAGGCTCAGGAATTCGGGCTTGGGATTCAGAATCTGACTGGGGACTGGGATTTAGGTTATACTGTTACCGCAGAGTACAGGTAAGAATGAGAAAGCATGTTTTGGCTAGTACTGCGACTACTGCTACTGCAGCACCAGCAACAACAACAACTACTGCTGCTACTACGACTACTACTGCTACTACTACTACTACTACTACTGCTAGTACTACTGCTACTACTACCACCACTACATATACCACCACTGCTACTCTTTCATCACATGCGGGAGAATGGCTTTCTGCGGCACCCTGCGAGGCCCGGGTGTTGCGAAGATGGATTGAGTGCTGCACAGCATGAATAGCAGGTTCTGGCAATGGAGCTGCACATGGGTGGTTCTCTAAATTAGGAGCGCTTTTGTCCTTTTTAGAAGGGAGCCGTGATAGTTTTGGGACCCAAAATGGGGCCCTAATTCAGAGAACTACCCACAAAGCTGCATTCTTGAGACAGCCCAAGCTCTGGCCTTTGCCAATCGATCCTGTCGTGGAAAACATGATTGCTCAGCAGCACGGGTTCGGAAGATGATTGTGCACCTCGGCCTGCTCAGTGTGCAGATGATTAACATGATAGTGCCACCAAGGCCTAAACCCTAAATCCTAAACCTTTAACCCTAAACCGTAAATGCTGAAGTACACAGCCGAGCAGTTGATGATGATCGGATTTTTGCAGCCGCCTGGAGATGGTCAAGGACCTGTCGGGGAGCCCTCACAAGGTCCAATGCCAAAAAGGTGTTGCACTGGCACACCAATTGGATGAAACGACTGCTTGCGGCATCTAACTCGTCATGAGATCCGTGCATTTTCACGACAATACTGACGATAACAATGCAAACGACAAGAACAAATGTCATGCATATGAAAATAGCCTTACCATAACAAGGACACCGAGAACCGGGTGTGAGGGGGCAGATTTTCTGTTGTTACCATTCTGAGCCCTTGGAATATTATTTATAGCACTTAGTACTAGTACTAGTACTAAATTGATTCTTACTCAAGTTCCTATACAAACCCTAAACCCCAAACCTCAAAGCCCTAAAACCCCTATGGATCCCATATAGATATAGATCCCTTTATAGAGCCCTTTAAGGAACCCTTTTCAACCCTCTAAGGCAAACCCGAAGCCGTCAGTCTCCATCCAGTCTTCTCAGTAGGGGATCTGCTCCCTCAGTCAGTCTTGCCACGGTGGGCTGCACCTTTTTTTGGGCGGGTCGGCGTTGGCGGCTTAGGGTCTCATATTGGAACGTGATTAAGAAACCTTGGGCCTGTATTACGGCTCCTTATATGAATCCTACTATTTCGAGGTTGCAGGCCAAGGGGGTTCCTACATTGGGGTTTGAGTGTTGGGTTTGAGGTTTAGGGCTGAAACCCGACCCCCTGTTTGAAAAAGAAGCCAGGGCCCGTACACACTACCGTTACAGAATTAGGTCCCCAACACCCTAATGGGGATGGTCTTTTGGGACGTAACTCCACAATGGCAGTCTTTATGGGGGTTTACGAAAATGAGGGGTAATTACCTTATTTGGGGGTCCTTACAATAGGGATCCTACTATTTAGGGTGCTATACTAGGGTTCCCTATTTGCGGAAACTCCCAACCACTGTATACCCTAAACCCTGAACCCTTTATAGAAACCTTATAGATCCCTTAAAGGAGCCCTTAAAGGGTGGACCCTCTGGGAAACAAGCGAGGGCCCATTAAGGCGGACGGCGCATGCCGCTGCCGATCGTCTCTGCGACGACGTACTTGCCGTCGTCCGCCACACTGCCGCATCCGGTCACGGGCCACCAGAGAGATAAGCCTTAGAGTTTTGGGTTGAGGGTTTCGGGTACTTGGACTTGGCAAGAAGGTCTAGGGTTTAGAATTATGCTTGAGGTCTTCCTTCTTATCGGGTTTAATGAAGGGGTCTAAGTAATTACCAATACCCCTTTTTTTTTGGGAGGGGGGGGGGGGGTTGCCTTGCCATAATTCTGGTATAATGTACCTCCAAACAAATTCAAGTCGCTGTGGCCCCTATATTATAGTACCCTATAGATCCCTTATAGTCACCCTTATCGGCCCTATTCACAGGAACCCTATTCTCATTGCTAATGGCCAAGCCAGAGAAGCAAAACCAGCCCATGGTGATCTCCACGATCTCAAGAGCAGGACTGGGATGCTTGCCCGGATAAAGCATGGGCACGTCCGTAATGACAGGGAGCAGGGTGTTGCCAATCCATGTGCCAACCTGGGTTTACGGGTTAGGGTTTGGATTTGGGTAGTTGTCAAAATTATGGTCCCTAATTATGGTCCCTAATTGGGTACCCTAAATATGAGGTGCCGTATTGTATTAAGGACCCAAAAAGGGACCATAATTTTCACAACCACCTATTTAGGGTTTGGGGTTTAGGGGTCTGCATTCAGGCTTTAGTGTCCGGGTGTTACCAATGCAGGTGCCAAACCGGGGGGCACAGCCCCAGAAACTGTACAGTAGACCCCATAAAGTTGGAAACCGGATTGAGGCCAAATAGTGCTGGGATTCCCCTTATAGAGGCTATCGGGTGTCCAACTTTAGGCGTCTACTGTAATCTTATTCTTTACCTGTGGCAGACTGGTGAAGTTCAAATAAGGTTCATGAATAAGGTGCGCTGAAACGGGGGATGAACACTGAACTCTCTTTACACCAAACCCTAAACTGCACGGTTTAGGATTTTGAAGCAGAGGGCATCACGGCTTAGGGCTAGGTTTCTCTCTAGGTTTCTCTTTCCCGGAAAGCCCAACCCATCAGGTAAGGAATGTACACCCATCGCTGGTGAGGAACTCGCTATAGACTAGGATGCCCGGTAAACTAAGAAAAAAGGGCTCCCTTTTTGGTATTGGGTACCTTTATAAGGAACCTAGGACTGCAAAAAGGGAATAAGGGTACTACTGGGCATCCTAGTACATCTATGAAGAGTATTGGCCTGTCTCCACCTTTAGAAGATGGGGATGTAATCTTCAGTTATGCTCTAATGTCGGGAGCTTAATAAGTTTGATGGGGCTTGGGACTCCTCAATTGTGCTACTGTAATATAAGGAACCCTAAGGAACAATTTTGGTAGTTGTTTAGGCCTAGGATTCTATATTGTATGCGGGAGCCCATCAAGCAGCCTGGATAAGAACAACCTTCACGCACACTGCGGATGGAAACCAAGCAACCGGCAGGTGTGCGACAAGCGGGTTCTGGCCGATCATGATCTTCTGGTGGATGAGAGCCTGGACTTTGAAGTAACCAGGGAGGCACAAGTATAGACTTTCATTTTATAATGGTTCCTTTAATCTAAGGAACAGGTACCAAAAACAAGTATTCAAGTATGGTACTCCAAACCCAAGGAGCTGGGAAAGTCGATAGCATGATGGCATGGGCAACGAGCATTCGTGTAGCAGTTGTTCGAGATCTTGCTAGCAGCTCCGCAGATTCGGGATGACTCCCCGTCGCAAGCTGTGGCAAGATTCGCCACAGATGCCGCCCACACATGAAGCAGCTCACAGCATTGTAGGGTAGGACGGAGACCATGCAGACAACCTGCCATATCTGCTTGTTGGTGACCAGCGCACCGCAGAGGCCTGTGCCAAAACCGACAGTTGCGGTGGCACAACCGAGTCGGACCATTGTCATGAGGAGCCGCGGCATTGGAAGCTCCAGAGCTGTGTGTGACCACCTGGCTGCACATAGATTTTGGGGTTTAGGGCTGGAGATTGGGTTTGATCTGTTTAGTGGGATCCATTTAAAT